TGTATACATTGTAAAGTTTGACCACCACCACTGGTTGGGGGCGGATCAGTCTATGGCTATCTTGTCAGGATTATACAATGCATGGATCTTAATCAATGAGATCAATGATTCATGAATCGTAATATCAATGATATTAATCACATAAAAGACAGTCAATCCCTTAGAGTTGTCTTTCTTCATTCCTGTTAAAATGAGATCCTGACTGCCTGGTGGCTCAAGAGAGAAAAATGAGGCGATAGTAATTAAAGACAAACAATTATTAAATACCAGAAATACACCGGAAGAGACACAAAAGCAGAAGATCAGAAATGATGACACTCAGGAATGAGCGGCAAAGTGAAGCCATCATTATTTGTGCGAGATCTACTCATCTTTGTGAATCTCTGAATTTGAGCATGAGGGATTAAGTGAAGCAGAGCAAGGAGAAGGGAAATAGTCCATCAGCCTCTCCTTGAACTTCAATGTTGTCTCACTCTCGTTAAAAAGAAATACGTGAGAGAGGAGGCTGAAGGGAAATGATGTAGCATGACGTAAGGCACACTAGAGTTTGCAAAGTATCCATCTTCATCTTTTTCTTTGTTAGGGGATGGTGATGACAAGGGAGAAGGCACCGAAATGAAACGAAATGCTTGACAAGGGAAGGTATTCTATCAGGCAATGTCCCTAAATGTACACACGTCACTGGAATTTGACATTTTCTCAGTGTTAACTGTTATCGTGTCTTTTGCCAGATTATATTTACTCTGGAAACAAATCAAATGCTATCATAGGTGTCCTGTTAACAAGAACTAGTTGTGATGGGCGCCTGGGTGGCTCAGTTGGTTAAGCGACTGCCTTCGGCTCAGGTCATGATCCTGGAGTCCCGGGATCGAGTCCCGCATCGGGCTCCCTGCTCGGCAGGGGGTCTGCTTCTCCCTCTCCCACTCCCCATTTGTGTTCCCTCTCTCGCTGTGTCTTTCTCTGTCAAATAAATAAATAAAATCTTAAAAAAAAAAAAAAGAACTAGTTGTGATTACCAAAAGCCTTCAAAACCATAGAAAGAAAAGAAAACCATTTAATCACCTGTGTACTGTTCTTACACTTCCTTTCAATCATGCAGAAGAGTGCATTAAGGGAACCTATGCTTGCAAGCACCAGCTCTGCAGTGCTCAAATGACAGTTTTCTTATGGGATGGCTTAATTTAATCACTCGAACACCGCATCATTACTGAGAACCACACTCACTACACGGTTCATGCAGTTAACAAAACCCACTGACACAAGTTACCTTTGCAGTTTTAAATAAACTTTTAGAAACAGTCTAGCAGCACAGCCATCAGTTACATTACAAAATTGAGAATCACAGAAACTAAATTCTCTGGATTCTGTACTCAGGGGGTATCAGCAGCACGAAAATATCTTTACATCTTATTTACCTTTCCCCGAGGGAAAGAGTAGATAACCTGGGGACATGACAGACTTCTCATAAAATGAAAAGCATTCTTTGGAAATGAGCAGCATCTGGTAATCATCATTTTCGGCTCGCTGTAACAACTCCTCCTCGTCGTCCTCCTCCTCCTCGTCCTCGTCCTCTTCCTCCTGACCACGACTCCACTCCCCTGTGCCCACCCCACATCACCTCCACCCCTTCTGCTTCCCACCACAGGGCCAGTAAGAACTCTTCTCTGTTCCTTCTGTAGTTTCTGACTTGAGGATGCCATCACATTCAACTATCACTTCTATGCAAAAAAATATGAACTCCCTATCTCTTAGTCCTGATCTCTGATAACTGCTTACCTGACGGCTTTACCTGGGAAGCACAGGAATAAAAGGGTTAAACACAGTGACTCTGGTCTGACAGTCTAGGTTAAAGTCCCCACTCCACCATTTATGAACTGAACAGCCTTAGAGAACTTCCTCTGGAAAACAGACGCTTCATCTGTATAAGCAGAATAAACCGTAACCTACAACTCAGTGACAGACTGCAAGAATTAAGCTGGGTGATATACCCAATTGAAGTAAAGCATTTCGGACAGTGCCCAGCACACAGAAGGTGCTTGATAAGGATCAAATAGGATCATCACTTTATCAGAGTATTTAGCTGTGACTTCAAATAACGAACTGTTCAAAACCAAAACACGTCTTCCCTCCGAGTGAACTCCCTGTTGGGCATTCCCCACCGCATTCAAGCCAGGGGTCTCAGAGTCATACTCGACAATGTTGAAAATATAAAGAATTCTTCCTCCTTAAGTCGACTCCTTCCTTCCAAATCCAAGCGCCTCCACATGAAATGAGGCCAACAACTCCTCAGCTACTACGACTCTTGCCTGACATGGGTCCTGAGCTATACTCTTCCTTGCGCCCAGCCATCCTTCGCACTGCTGTGGGAATTAATCCTGAGAGACCAAGGGAGCAAACACAGCTAGAAAATGAGTATTTCTTTTAAATTACTTTGTAGAGTAGTATAACAATAAAAAAAAAAAAGTACTGCACAGGTAAAAGGAGAAAGGACAGATTTAAAAATAACAATAATAATAAATGGTACTGGAATAATGCAGCTGTCCCTGCATTATTAGGAGAAAAGATCTGAAACATGTACAGATGCTGTACGAAGAAATTATATACTCATGGAGGGTCAAAGAAGACCTAAATACCTTATTCATGAACTGGAAGACTCAAAATGTAGAAAGATGCCAATTCTCCCCTCAAAGTCATCAAGATATTTGCTCTAATCACAACCAGAATCACAACGATATTCTCCTTGTGGAACTCGGAGCCTGATATTAAATTTATATGGAAGGACAAAGGACCAAGAAAAGCCAAGACACTCTTGATATTAACAAATATTTTGACTTAATATGTATCTATATAATTCACTAACTGTGTAGAATCATGCCAGAATAAAGAAAGAGGTCAATGGAACCACAGAAAGAGCCCAGGGACAGACCCAAACATCCACGGACACTCAGCATGACAGAGTGGGTAATATACAGACAAAAGGAAAAAGAATGGATTTTTAAGAAACAAGAAATGATACTGAAAAAATTCAGTGATTACATGGAAATAGAATAAAATTGGACCTCCTTCCAGATACCACATCACAAAAATTAACTCCAGACGGATTATAAACTTAAATATAAGAAGTAAAAACCATGAGACATTTAGAAGACAATACTGGAGAATATCTTAAATTCAAGATAAAGAAAGACATCTTAAATAGTAAGAGCACAGACCCAAAAGAAAAAAATAAATTTTAACCCAGCATTTCTCTTCATCGTAAGATACCATTAAAGAAAGTGAAAAGATAAGCCACAACTGATGTTTGCAGCCTGTATAACATGGAAAGATTAGTAGACAGAATACATATAATATAATCCCACAAATAATAAAAAGACAACTCAACAGGAAAAAATATTTAAAAAGCTGTTTCACAAAAATGATAAATCCAAATGGCCAATAAACATATAAAAAGATGCTCAACATCATTAGGAATCATGGAAATGCAAATTAAAACCACAGTGAGATGTCATCTGTACCACAAGATTGGCAAAAATTTAAAAATCTGACTATATGAAGAATTGGCAAGAATGCAGAACAACTACACACATCCCTTACTGCTCAGAGTGAACATTGGTATGCCCCATTCAGGAAAAAGAGGTTGACATTACTAAAGTCTGAACACACACACACCTGTGATCCAATAATTCAACTCCTAGGTACATATCCTAAAATAACTCTTGCACATGCACACCGGAAAACACATTCAAAATATTCACAGCAGCAGTGTTCATAAAAGCAAAACGCTGGGAAAACTCTTATCAGTGTAAGGTGAGTAAATGGTGACAAATTCATTCAGTGAAATGTAAGAATGGCCATTTATTTTATATCCATCAAAGGATAAATCTAAAATCCTAAGGAGGAAAAGAAGCAAACCTCAGAACACACAGAGCATGAAGTTCAATAAACAAAGTCCAAAACAGGGCAAAACTAAACCACACATTGTTTAGAGATACTCTTCATAAATGATAAACTTACTAATAAAAGTTAGGGAACGACGCACGAAAATCAAGGTAAAGATGACTTCGCGGGGATATGATTCAAACAGGGACTCATGGTGGTTTCTAAAGTCTTGGCAATGTTATATTTCTTAGGCTGGGTAGTAGATATACAGGCATTAAGTTTATTATTGTTATGGAAACTGTGTAAGTTTCATAAACTTTTGATATATCTGGTTTGATGTATTTCATGATAAAAGCCATGGGCGCTGAGCTTGAGTGTGAAGTGAGGAGGAGTCCGGCTGGGAAGGCGAGAAGGAAAACAGGACAACAGCTAACTGGGGGCCCTAGAGCAGGTTTCAGTAACCAGGAGAAGGCATCCATGGGGTTAAGAGAGGTTGGAAACACAGGAAAATGAGGACATAATTTATAAAGCGAGGTTTCTGAGAAGGTGAGTGGGAGAAGATTTAGAGCACACGTGAAAAAGGACACTTCTTTCACTTGAACCTGAGGGAACACAGTAAGAAGCAAGGATTCATATGCATTTCTCCTATGAACTGTGATTCCCTTGGAGGCCGGGCATTATTAGCATCAAGCATACTGCTAATGGGCAGAAGAGAGAAAAGAGGGAAGGACTGTTTCAAATCAGTACAAAAAATGTGGACTGGATTCCCTGAAAAGAGGACGTGGTTGATACTCAACAAATATTCACATCACCTTTAATTAGCTAACCTCACAGAAAGTCAAATCACCTATCCAAAAAGTCCACAGTAAAGTTTCATTCTTTATCAGATAAAGTCAAAACAGTATAATCTTACAAGTCCAACTCCTACTCTTTTTGATACATACTAAATATTTATATTATTAGGGAATTTTTTAAAAGTGGATTTCCTGAACTTCTTAAGTTCACTTATAAAAAAAGAAAAAGAAAGAAAGAAAGAAAGAAAGAAAGAAAGAAAGAAAGAAAGAAAGAAAGAAAGAAAGAAAGAAAGAAAGAAAGAAAAAGAAAAAGCAACTTCCACTTACTTAATTGAGTTTCTAAAGTGGTCTTCAGCTGGGTTTTTAACGGTACAACTATTCAGGAGCCATAAATCGGCGTCTGATGCATTTTCTATTAAAAAAACAAATATAAAAAAGAAATTTCAGTCTCACATTCAATCATTCCAAAGTACCCACGAGCCTACTCCGACACAGACAGAAGCAGTGGGCAGTCAAGTAAACCCATACCTGCCTGACATGCGGTAACTGCTAAATAGCATATGGAAATATATGTGAGAAATAAATATAAAAATGTATAACCTGCACTGTATCTTTTCATTTAAAATATAAAGAAAATAAGCATTTTCTTCCTTTATTTTCAATACTTGAGAATATTTTAAAACTTCCAAAAGCTAAAGTGGAACTGGCCTAATTTTCCTTCTGAATATGCAAATTCGTTGCCCCCTTTTGGACTGTGTCAACAGGTTTCAGGCATAGATATTATCAGATACTGAATATTCTGCAGCTTAAGACGTTATTAAAAATATAATTTGTCTTCCCTGAAAAAGTTAATGATTTACCTCAAAGTAAGCCTTTCATTCCTCTCACCAATTTGATCAAATATTGTTCTGTATGCAGTCCCCCCCCATCTGCAGGGACACATTCCAAGACCCCCAGGGGATGCCTGAAACCAGATAATCCTGAACCCGATAGATGCTATAGTTTTTCCTACACATACAGTATCTGTGATAAAGTTTCATTTATAAATTAGGCACAGTAAGAAAATAACAGTAACTAATAATAAAATAGAACAATTATAACCACATACTGTAAAAAAAACTTATGTGAACAGGTCTCTCTGTACTACGCTCACCCCTCTTCTTGGGATGATGTGAGATGATAAAATGCCTACGTGAGGAGATGAGGTGAGGGGAACACACAGGCACTGGGACGCAGCGGTAGGCTACTACATGACCTTCGAACAATACGTCCCAAGGAGGGTCATCTACTTCTGGGCTCTGGCTGACCGCGGGTAACTGAAACCGCAGATAAGGGAGAGGGACGACCATACTGTGATAAACTCACTGGGAATGCAACCAATAACCCAAACCCATCCAGTTTATGAAAGGAATTTGTAAATGACTGAAGTGTTTACTGCTATTCCAACCACCTTGTCGCCCAACAGGACGCACTCATTAAACCAGGACTGCCACAATGAAAGAACACCAAAACTGACAACTGCAGCACCTTCCATGTACACTAACGTAGTAACAGAGGCTAAGGTACACTGACATGAAGAACCAGGAGGACAAACAGACGTCTGTGAGCTTCAAGGGAGAGCATTACGCCAAACGGATGCGAGCCCATCAAAGCTTCCGGTAAACTGGCAAAAAACTTTTTTCCCAAACATTTGATTATAAAAATGATGAAATATTTTTATAGAGACAAGAACAAGAACAAAAAATTCTTGAATCGATTAAAGGGAAAGTGCCTATTACTATTTATCCCTCCTAACCGGTCTCACTCCTTCCATTCCTGTCCCCCACCCACACCCCATGGTCTATTTGCCCTCCCAAAAGCCAGAGTGATCTTTCACTTAAGAAATCTGGTTATGGGGGCACCTGGGTGGCTCGGTTGGTTGAGCGACTGCCTTTGGCTCAAGTCATGATCCCGGGATCCTGGGATCGAGTCCCACATCGGGCTCCCGGCTCAGCGGGTAGCCTGCTTCTCCCTCTGACCTTCTCCCCTTTCATGCTGTTTCTCTCTTGCTTGCTCTCTAATAAATAAATAAATAAAATTAAAAAAAAAAAAAGAAATCTGGTTATGTCACTTCCCTGCTCAAACTCAGAAATGATGGGTACTTACATACCTCCCTTAGCTCCCTCCCAATTATTCTCCACAATGCCACCTGAAGACATTCCTCTTCTGATGATGATTTCCAGTGGTATTCGAGGCCTTTCCAGATCCAGCCACCTCCCCCACTTTAATATTAATTTCTCCCTACATTCATCTGTCCCTCCAGCCACACCAAACCACCTGGAATTCCTAAGGCCTACACTACTCTATCCGGCTAGCATATCTTTGTTTCCTATCCACCTGGCTCACTCCTACTCATCCTTCAGCTGCAGCCTGAGGTCTGTAGCTGCCTCCATGGCAGACTGGGCATCGACCATTCTAGCTCTTTATATTCTGTATTAAAATAACTCCTTTTTCCAACCTGTCTTTATTACTATTTAAGAGATACTGAAGACAACATTTTTATCTGCTGCCCTCTGAATGTCCAGGGCCTAACACATTGATGGGCACAGAATAAACATTCAAATACCCTGGCACACTAAACAAGGTAAACAAATACTTAGGGATGAGATTTTATCTTGCTCACAGTTATATGCCCAGCACTACTACGTATGGCACCTGGTACCTGATAGATATCCATTAAATATGTACTGAGTGAATGCTGAATTTTGAAAGACAAAGCTAAACTATGAGCAATGTATTGCACAGATAAGAAAAAGTCATGGATGTGTGATTTAAAAAAATGATAAAAAAAATAAAGACTCGGCATTTATTTAAAATAAACAAATAGGGGGGCACCTGGGTGGCTCAGTTGTTAAGCATCTGCCTTCAACTCAGGTCATGATCCCAGGGTCCTGGGATCGAGCCCCACATCGGGCTCCCTGCTCCGCGGGAAGCCTGCTTCTCCCTCTCCCACTCCCCCTGCTTGTGTTCCCTCTCTCGCTGTGTCTTTCTTCAAAATAAATAAAATCTTAAAATAGATAGATAGATAGATAGATAGATAGATAGATAGATAGATAGATAGATAGACAGACAGATAGATAGAAAGATAGATAGATAGGAGTGCCTGGATAGCTCCGTCAGTTAAGTGGCCAACTCTTGGTTTCGGCTCAGTTCGTGATCTCAGGGTCATGAGATTGAGCCCCACGTCAGGCTCCATGCTCAGCATGGAATCTGCTTGAGATGCTCTCTCCCCTTCTGCCCCTCTCCCTGCACACACATGTATGCGCTCTCTCTCTCTCTAAAATAAATAAATTAGTTAAAAAATTAAAATTAAAAAAAATAAATAAACCAACAAAACCTAAAGACAGAACGATCTGTGCCAGATGCCAGCTTTGTGTCCTGGCACATTCTTCTACTCAATCCAGCCACCGCTAAGGGTAAAGACAATGCTTACCATACATACTACAACAAAAGCCCTCTCAAGGAGAATTCCAGCAATAAATAAGGCAATTATTCTACTTTGTCTGAAATGCTGTCCATGTTGGAATGTACAGACTTTCAAAATAAAGTGAATACTATGCTTGGTGATCTAACTGCAATCAGTAGGAATCCAATGAATATACCAAGATGCCTACAAAATTACACAACTTTCTGACCACCCCTCAAAAGAGAAATGCCCCTTCCAATGAACACAAGAGTTTCTTATCCAATTATTTCCAAACTCAATTTTGTGTTGGTACATCTTAATATTGTCAAAACATACATAAATACTATTTATAAGCATAAATCAGTCAGTAAACCATCATCACACAATGAGGATTTACTATGCACCAGGCTCTCTATTCCAGGCACAGGGGATATGGCTGTGGGAAGAGTTTCTACCCTCAAGGTAGTTTAAGTCGTGAGGAGGAAGTCTGATAAAAACAAACCACAGGGGCGCCTAGGTGGCTCAGTTGGTTAAGCAACTGCCTTCGGCTCAGGTCATGATCCTGGAGTCCCTGGATCAAGTCCCGCATCGGGCTCCCTGCTCGGCAGGGAGTCTGCTTCTCCCTCTGACCCTCCCCCCTCTCATGTGTTCTCTCTCATTCTCTCTCTCTCTCAAATAAATAAATAAATAAATAAATAAATAAATAAATAAATCTTAAAAAAAAAAAAAAACACAGAAAACAAGGTAATTTCAGATACTGGTCAATGCTATTAAGATGATAAGAGAGCATGGGGCGCGTGGGTGGCTCAGTTGGTTAAACGACTGCCTTCGGCTCAGGTCATGATCCTGGAGTCCCTGGACCGAGTCCCGCATCGGGCTCCCTGCTCGGCAGGGAGCCTGCTTCTCCCTCTGACCCTCCCCCCTCTCATGTGCTCTCTCTCTCTCATTCTCTCTGTCTCAAATAAATAAATAAAATCTTTAAAAAAAAAAAAAAGATGATAAGAGAGCATAATGGACAAAGAATAATTAGGTCAAAATAGGTCTCACTTAGGAGTTCAAATCTGAGTTGAGACTCCAGTAATAAAAGACCATGCAAAGACCAGAAGAAAGAGCACTTCAAGAAGAAAATCCCGCAAGTATAAAGGCCATGAAATAAGAGCGAGCTTGTTGTGTTCTAGGACCAGAGAGACTGGACACAGGGAAAGTGGGGATAGAAAGGTCGGAGAGGCAAGCAGCAACCAGAGTATTTGGCAAGTTAAGAACTTCACACTGTACTGTAAAAATTACAGGAAGTCACCACTGGGTTTCAAACAGCTAATTTCTACTTCGGAAAGCCCATTCTAGAAATGCCATGAAGACTATAGATGGGGAAAAAGTAAAGACAGGAAAACCAGACGGAAGCTGATGAGCTGGTCTAAGTAGGAATATGTGGAAGAGCATGGTGAGCTGCACTGGGGTCACAGCAATGGCAAAAGCAAGAAGGCAAATGGGGGGGGCGCCTGGGCGGCTCAGTCGGTTGAGCGGCTGCCTTCGGCTGGGGTCGTGATCCTGGAGTCCCAGGATCGAGTCCCGCATCGGGCTCCCTGCTCGGCGGGAAGCCTGCTTCTCCCTCTGACCCTCCCCACTCTCATGTGCTCGCTCTCTCTCATTCTCTCTCTGTCTAATAAATAAAATCTTTATAAAAAAATAATAAATAAAGTTTCATTGGGCGCCTGGGTGGCTCAGTCGGTTAAGCGACTGCCTTCGGCTCAGGTCATGATCCTGGAGTCCCGGGATCGAGTTCCGCATCGGGCTCCCTGCTCGGCGGGGAGTCTGCTTCTCCCTCTGACCCTCCCCCCTCTCATGTGCTCTCTCTCTCTCATTCTCTCTCAAATAAATAAATAAATAAAATATTTAAAAAAAAAGAAAGCAAATGTGGGCCTATTTTGGAGGCAGAATCAAGAGAATTCACTGATAGATTAGATAGG